CAAACTTGTGAATTTCGTGTAAGTGAAAAAAATATTTTTCACATTTCTTTTATATTTTAGTATAAGAAATATTCGCTGGCAAATGTATTTTTGTAAGATTGGATTGATGGAATAAGGCAAAGCAACACGTGGACTATCTACCAAGGGGGGTGGGTACCATCTAGGGAGTTTCTATGGAAAGCTGGCCTCTATTCAAGTGTTAATTAAACACGTAAAAATCCACGTGGTCAGTTAGTTAGTGAGGCGCGAACCCGCGACCACCAACGTGGAGTTTTTCACCAGTGCTTTTGTACGAACAATTCTTTGTATATGTGTGTGTATGTAGCAATTTTACAAAAAGCGTTTTTTTGTTTGGTTTGTAAACGTGTAAAATTTATTTTTCCAACATTTTTATTTATTGTTTAAGATGCTATACAATGACAGGCATTACTTAGTATGTGTAAGATGCCCGGCTATCTGGTTTGGCAGGTTTCTGTTGTTTTTTTGACAATGTTAATTCGCCAAATACAATTATTACGATACTTGTCTGTCAAATTTGATCTAGTTATCCCATTTTACCCAAAATTATATTTAAAAAAAATTATTTTAGGAAATTACATTCATTTTAGGTTACAAATTTATTCTAAGTTATCTTTGAAAAGACAGTTTTTAATATACTGGGGTGGTCCAAATGTCAGTTAACCGAGTTAACTGACTTGATATTTATAGTAAGAAAAAACCTGCCTAAACGGAAAAAATTCTTCGGAATGGAACGATTTTCTGTTAAAAAAAAACACCTGTTCAAAACGGAAGAGATAAGCGATTCCGGTTTACGCAGGTTTTACTGTATCTCAGTTAACTGACTTTTGAAACGTTTGGTTAGTAATTATTACCGCCGAATTTAACAATTAAATAGATAAATTTTTATCGAAAATAAATGAAATTTTGAAGATTTCACCCATCAAACGAGTGAAATCTTCCGAGTTTCTTTTCATGTATCTAGAAATTCCTATAATAACTGATAAGTTCGAAGTCATTTAAAAAGATAGGCTCCAGATTTCTCAGAAGTTATCGATTGTCCATAACAGATCTACTTCACTGGCATTTTTCGAAATTGTATCAGTGAATTATCGACTTAATTTAATAATATTTGAGGCGTAGTTTAAATTTTGACAAATACCATTAAAAACAGTCGAAAATTACATTTATTATAACTAAAAACAATTTTAACGAATAACAAAAGGATCTACGAAATTTACTGCATGTATAATTTATAAAGTAGAACCCCTATTTAACGTTTTCTCAGTGATCAGCTTAAAATTTGCACTTAAAATAGGGGTTTAGAAGCCGGAGCAATTACAAATGAACGCATAATCGAGGTAAAGTTAAAATGGGATTTCACTTAATTAATAAGAATTCATATTTTGGTTCAAATGTCTATCAAAAACATTAATTTCTCTCAGGTTTTGTGGATGTTTTATGGGTTTTATGTAAAAAAAATTATTCCTGTATTGATTTATAAATGAATACAGATCATCAGGATGTAGGAAAGTTTGGGCCTACTAAGCAAATGTGGAGTCTTGCCCATTCCCGAAAGTCATAAAAATACATGAATAAAATCAATTAAACGAATATAAACAAATTATTTATTGTTTTATTAACTTATTTGATGTATAATTACAAGATAATGCGATAAATGCACGAGGTTGCTTCCTCCCTTTTAACTACATAACAGTAAAATACAATTAAAAAATTAAAATAAACTAATTTAAATTGTTAAACCCTGATATAGCGCCATCCTCGTGAGTTTCGTGAACGAATCTTCCTCATAAATATAAGAGAACCCCTTCAGTATCTTGCAGTAAGTGACATTGTTATCAGTAAATTATGCTTAAATATAATACTTGCTGTTTAAGTACTTCAATTTACTGTCGCACTCGATGTAGTGCCAATTACAGAGGCGAACAAATAGCGGCACTAAATCGAAGTGTAACTATAAATCCTTTCGTATCACGTGTTTTCATAGCCAAATGGCCCCAAATGGAAACCATTTTGGATCGCTTTATATCCGTGACTGGGACAAAGACTGGGCTTACAGTTAATGAAATTTTGGGAATAATTTAGCGTAAATATATATTTATCACACAAATAAATCAGAATAATAAAGTAATTTGAATATTACTCCTATCGATTATATTCTACAGCCGATAAAAAGATTTAATACTTAGAAAATTCATCTAAAACAATATTTCCATTATCATAAAATTAAGCTGATTAGACGTCTTCGTACTTCTAATCACATCATCAATTCGATTATTATGGCTATTTATGGCATATTTATGAAGTCTTTATGAAGAATTAACGTTAAATCTTTCGATTAAAATTTTGTTACCGTCTTTATCTAATGAGAAAATTAATTCTATAGCTATATAAAATTTAATTAAGTATATTTGAAGCATTTTATCTTATTTTTAAGTTATTATTTAACGTATTATAAAAAAAAATTCACCTCCTCTACAAATTAACTTTGGAGTAAATCATCTACAAGATCAAGTTACAGTGTTTTTTCAGCTACGAATGAGTTATTTAGTTAAAAAGTTTATATTTTCTGGTGCCAAAATTGAAGTTCTTCCACATTTTTAATTAATGTTTTTATTGCATCGACTTACATACAGGATATAATAATAATTTTTATTGTACTTCAGGGTCATGCTCTTGTTACAGAGACAAAAATCGCCCCATTATTTACAGATTTAAATAATCTTCTGGTGCAAAATTTTGATTGTAAACTTAATATCATTCAAATAAACTAAAGTTAACATACAAAAGGAGCATGCGTCCTCCTTTTAAATGCCACATGAGCACACGTCCTTTATTTTGTTTTTGTTTATAATATACCATAAAGCGACTCATGAGTGATTTGTCAAGGGGGTGCCTACCAGGAGGAATTTCTAAAGAAAACTACCGTATTTGGGTGTTACGAACGTGAAGAAAGGCCGGAAAACTTCACGTGGTCAGCCCGTTGGCGAGGCACAAGTGTTCAGTGATTTTATCCACTCGGCCACTGGTGGGTTTCTCCATTTTTGACTTTATATAAAACGTCAGAGAATTATTGTAAAAATTATTTGGTAAATACAATGGTTAACAATAGGCCCGGGAGCTATAAAAATAACTGTTGTAAATTATTTATTCCATTGTTTATTTTTTGTCAAATTTTATTACTTAAAAAAAAATAATAATAATAAACTGTCAACCATCTCAGATCTCATTAACTGTAATAGCGAAAATGCCTACGGATGAGTCATTATGTCGTCACAAATAGCTTTATGACTCATCCGCTTTGCTAGGCAGAGGTGGGGAAGGGGCGCGATACACTTTGCTGAAATGTGCAGCGCGAGGTGATTGTATGCAACGTCCTCTCCAGGTTTCTTGAAAATTTTCCGTGTTACGGGTACAGGGATTCAAGTATATTAACCAGAATTATATTTTAACTATTCGTACTAGATAATCGAATGTGTCTTAATGTTTTAGTTTACTTTGAATATACTAGGGGCTTTAAAAAATATTTGTGTTTAATCTTCAGAGGTAAGAGGACCTGGACCTCTTGACCTCTGAAGGGTAGGCCGGATGGCCGAGCGGTCAAGGTGGCAGCCCATCGCTCTGGGGGACCCGGCTCGAATCCGGACGGGTCAAGGAATCCCCCAGGGGGTGGTCCATTCGGATGTGTCGGGCCCCGTCCCTCACCACCCAGTCGCCCCATTGTGGGCCTGGCCGAACCCATAATGGGCCTGCTATAAGAGGCCCTCTTAGTGCCCAAAGGGCGGAAAGAGTAAAAGAAAAAACCCTCTGAAGGGTTCTTTAAATTGAAACAAATTAATCACAAACTACACAAAATTATCAGTAAAATAACAGATTTTATTACCATGTGAACAAGTTTATCAAAATGATCAGAAATGACTGATAACAATGAAAAATTAACGAGTTATATAATATTTATGAGATAGCCCGGGACGCCCCCTAGTGGGTGTTCTAGAAGCAGCAGTGTCATTCGGTGGTATAAATAATAAATTCCTATTACAAAGAAAAATACAATGTAACCTCGTTTAACGAGTATTTCGCATAACGAGCAAAACAAATTGTAACAAAATGATTCGCTTAACGAGTGACGAGGAGAAAGTCCCCATTGTGCGTGTTCTCCATCAGTATGTGTTTAGCACTCGTTCCGCTACCATCTCATTGTCGCTTGTGATCACATATTTTTCCAAATTTAATGACCAATTCCAAACTGAATTTTAGAAATGTCTAAATTAAAAATTATTTATTTATAAGTATTAAATTTAATACGAGATGCAGGCATAACTGCCTACCTCTAGTCAAATTAATTAATTTCTAATATTTAATTATAACTTTTACACAGCCCAAAAATTTAGCATTTTGTTTCGTTGTTTGAGACATATTTTTTCGATTTTTTTTGTTTTCTGCAAATCGAATTTGCATTATAGGTTGGATCATTCCGCGCTAGAAGAAAAGACGAGGATGATTCACGCTCCTTAGCAATGTATATTGCATAATTTTCTTTGAATAAACGTTATACATAAAATATTTGAGTATTTTATCGGCGTGGAACGCATTATCGTATTTTACGTTAATTTCTATTGGAAAAACTGTTTCGCTTAACGAGTGTTTCGCATTACGACTAAGATTCTGGAACGAATAATGCTCGTTAAGCGAGGTTCCACTGTAATAATATACTGAATTATACTATTATAAATAAAATATATACTGTTGTAAATAAATTATACTGTTAATTTAAGTAATAGCTGAAAATCATCGCTAGGGACACCCCTAGTGGGCGTTCTAGGCATTCTGTTACAGATTAAAGATTATAGATATACAAACAGTGGAATCGATGGCTTATATATATAGATATAAGATTTGAAGCGGGCGTCTATCGAATCGCTGCAGTTCAGTTTCGTTGGCTTGTAGCTGTTGGCGTTGGAGTTGCCATCGGCGTCGAACTTCTAATCTAGCTGATCGTTGTTTGTCAGTTTCATGTTTTCTTCTAAGTCGTCTTGCCTCTGCCTCCCTATGCAACCTTGCAGATCTCTGTTCATCAGTTTCATTTTTTCTTCTATGTCGTCTTGCCTCTGCCTCCCTATGCAACCTTGCAGATCTCTGTTCATCAGTTTCATTTTTTCTTCTATGCCGTCTTGCCTCTGCCTCCCTATGCAACCGGAATANAATTTGTTTAAAACATACAATTACTTGTAATATGATGATAATAAATATTATAAGTATACTGTAATTCTAACAAGTAAGTTAATTTTAACATAATATCTTCAGTATTAATGATACATGATCCAATTAATTATAGAAATTTAATAAAATATTTCATTAAAATATAGTTTTAATAATTTTTAATAAATTTCTAAAATTAATTGGTATTTTCTACACTTTAATAAATATATTTTAAGAAAAAACAGAAAGCATTTAAGAAACTGAAGTATAACTTATGATATCTATGTAAATCGTCTCTGTAATCCAAAATTATGGTAGACGGTCTCACAGCAAATTTATGATTAGGAACTATGATTACAGAGATATCTTTACATAGATATCTAATATACAACAATCCAATTTATATTGTGCATAACTTATGAATTTCAAATTTAATACAGCCCACCAGTGGCCAAGCGGTCTTCACACCCTGAACACGGAGTTCGGTTGTGGGTTTGCGCCTCGCTCAGACAGACTGGCCACATGGAGTTTTCCGGGTTTTCTCCACGTCTGTAATACCTAAATAGGGGCCAGTTTCTCTTAAAAGACCTCCCAGAAGGCATCCCCCCTAGGCAGATTGCCCAAAGTGTTGCATTGCCATAACTTAACAAACAAACAAATTTAATACATCAATAAAACTTTTATACACAAATATAATTTAAATTAAACAATATTTAAAATTGATAAAAAAAAAGAAAGATGCAAAAAAATTTTCTATTAATATAATTATCATCATCAAGCCTTCTTAAAATTCTATTTTTATTCTACTTGAAGATAGTCTTGATGATGATGATTTGAATATTAAAATATTAATTAATAAATATTCTTTATGATTATACAATTTGATATATGTTCAATTATATTGATTATTTTTTTTATATTAATATATAAAATTTAAGATTTGTACATATTTAAATTAATATTTAGCATGGTTTTATTTGTATATCATCATCTAAAGGGGATGCCTTCTCATGAATGATGATGGTGATAAATATTAAATAGAAATAAATATTTATTTCATACTTTTTACTTGCTAAACTTGCTTATTTTTTTAAGATAAAATCATCAAATATCTTGATATTAAGAATATCATATAATATTATTTATCTATAAAAATTTACATTTATTTAAATAAATTAAATAAATATATTTATTAACCAAAATAAAATATAAGTGTTAAAAATTAATAACTTTAACACCTTCATCCTAGCTTAATTCTTAATCACATTTTAAATTTATTTAATTTTTCTTAATCTATACATTAAAACTGATATACTTAATCTAAATGAAAGATGTGAAGAATAAAGTATATCTTCTACTGATCATCTGAGAGGATGAGGATGATAAGTGGACAGCACAAGTAAATTCATTCATAGTCGTAATTTATTATTTAATTTTTTCTTAACTTATACTTCAATAAATGTGAGAGATTATTTATCTAATCAACCTTACTCTACAATATACGAAGGTGTACAAGTCCATTTGAACTGACCCTGACACATTCTTTACCTGCATTCTCCTCCTTTTCTAACCTGAAATGTATTTATTTATCTTTTACTATTTCATCACTAATATATATTACCAAATGCAAAACATCCCTCTACTTATTTCATATTTTACATGCAACTTCTAATCAGAGATTTTGAAAATTTGATTTAGAAAAATCTGATATAAACTTTTTTTCAACCTTAAAGACCTAATTTTATTAAGAAATTTAAATGAAAAATAAAAAAAGTTCTGAAACAACAAATAACCTAATAAGACAATTCTAGCAAATATTTCCTATTAGATAAACCAGAAGTTAACCATGTTCTGTGTTCATTTATACCCATAAATATGAGCTTAAAACGAGTTTTTCTATTATAAAATTCGGTGTAAACACTCGAAAATATACGATTTTACGTAACTAAATACAAAAAATTTAGTTTTTGCAGTGGTTGACTGACTTTTGGACCACCCTGTATAAAATTTAATAATAGACATTAAAATTCCTGTCTGTTTTCATCGTTTATAACATTTTTTTTCTTCTTCTTAAAAAATTAAATAAAAATGTATGTAAAAACTTTTAAAAAAGGAATACTTTTTCAATTTAAATTTGAATTTTTTATTTAAGAAAATAAAATATTAAGTTGCAATTTTTAAAATTTACTTGAATGTAAATTGTTCGTAGACTTGACACTTTTAATATCTTTTAAATAAAAACTGAATAGTTATGAGTGAAGCTTTCATAAAATCCTTCGCATTGATTTTCCCATTATAAATGGCAGGTGAGTGTAGTCACGTGCGATGACGTATTCGATAAGCGTGACTCACGAAACGATGTGACAGCTGATGTTGAGCAAATAGAATAATAATTAAAGTGTAAAATTACAAAACCTTTTTAGTGACTTTTTTTCCTGAAGTTTTCTGCATATTTAAACTGAATATTTTAAATAATAAGATTATTTTCGATATAATATTCATTTCTACAGATATTAATTATTCATAAATTTTTATATAACAATACTATTGTTGCTGGTCCCTTTATCTGAGTCCTTAGCGGTTATATAAATTTTGCCCATTGTTTTAGCATAGAAAAAATAAAAAATAAATTTTCGGGAGGAGAGGATTTATTATTTGAAAGAAACACGATAAACGGATATATATTAAGAAGTTTTTATGGCCTTTGAAGCAGGTGGATCCATACATTTGTGACTGGCATTATCTCACCCTCCACAGTGGCCGAATGTATATAACTACTAAACACTGGTCGCGGGTTCGTGACCGACCACGCGAAGTTTTCCGGGTTTTCTTCACGTGCCTAACTAACACCTGAATAGGGACCAGTTTCCTACAGGAAGTCTTCTCGGGAGGCACCATCTCCTTGGCAGATTTCCCACGTGTCGCATTGCTTTGCTCCATGGAAACAAACTAAACATACCTTTCTAAACTCATGCTACATCCTCTTAGTGCCCATGGGGCGAAAAGAAAATAAATTATTAAATGACAATCTTATAAGAATTACGTTCAACTTAAGACGAATATGTATTTGTTTCTTGATAAGTGTAATTTATTTAAGTATAATAGTTTGACTTTCTACACATTCTTTCAGTGTAAGATGTCAGATTACAGATTATACATCATCATACTCTGGAAATTTATTAAATTACAAGACAATTGTACTCTCACGCTGAATTATAATAATCGTAAAAACCTTTCTGTAGTCAATAATATGTGGGTGTCATATTTCAGGAAAGTTTCCTTTCGTAAAAAATAAAAATTATTAAAAAAAAACTAGAAAATTACTGGTTATTGATTAATAATATAAAGTGATTGATTCGGAAAGTAAACCTGATCAACTTAGATCAAGGACTGTTTCTAACGTTGCTAACAATCAAGGTGGTAACAGGCAAAACTATTGTTGACCCTATTATAATCAGGCGTAACAACGGAGGAGTAGAGAGGCGTTAAATGAGAAATGGCGCTATAACTTACTTTCCTAACAGGTAACTTTCATTGCAAATCTTTATTTAATAAATGTTACGCTAATATTAATCGAAAATGTTAATAAAAGAATGTCAGTGCGTGGTGTCAAAATATGCACAATTGTGTGGGAAGGCCTCCAAGCGCCCAAAAACCCACGCTATGTCCCTGATTTCGTTATAATTACATTTATGACTATATTAATCTTGCAAGCACTGTTAAGTAATTCCAATATTTTCGTGATTAGGCCTAGTTATTAGTAAGGATGTATTTGCATGTTTTTTAAATCTATATTTTTTTAATCCTAATTAATTTTTAACAAAATAAACGTTACTCTAATCACGTACTATGCTTGCCATTCTCAAAGTCCCATACCTTCTAGATCCCTCTGAAGTCTTATCCTCAAGAGGGTAACAGCGTCCACTTTGAGAACCACTACACCAGGCGAACATTGGAGAGCAACGCTAAACAAATACTTATGTCATTCCTTCATAAATGTTTGAAGTTCGAGAATTGGGAGCACATCTCAAAAGTACTTCAATATTTAGATTACGCTGTTTGCAATAAAACCATGTGAGAATATTTCGTGTATCACATTTTAAATTTATTTAATTTTTCTTAATCTATACATTAAAACTGATATACTTAATCTAAATGAAAGATGTGAAGAATAAAGTATATCTTCTACTGATCATCTGAGAGGATGAGGATGATAAGTGGACAGCACAAGTAAATTCATTCATAGTCGTAATTTATTATTTAATTTTTTCTTAACTTATACTTCAATAAATGTGAGAGATTATTTATCTAATCAACCTTACTCTACAATATACGAAGGTGTACAAGTCCATTTGAACTGACCCTGACACATTCTTTACCTGCATTCTCCTCCTTTTCTAACCTGAAATGTATTTATTTATCTTTTACTATTTCATCACTAATATATATTACCAAATGCAAAACATCCCTCTACTTATTTCATATTTTACATGCAACTTCTAATCAGAGATTTTGAAAATTTGATTTAGAAAAATCTGATATAAACTTTTTTTCAACCTTAAAGACCTAATTTTATTAAGAAATTTAAATGAAAAATAAAAAAAGTTCTGAAACAACAAATAACCTAATAAGACAATTCTAGCAAATATTTCCTATTAGATAAACCAGAAGTTAACCATGTTCTGTGTTCATTTATACCCATAAATATGAGCTTAAAACGAGTTTTTCTATTATAAAATTCGGTGTAAACACTCGAAAATATACGATTTTACGTAACTAAATACAAAAAATTTAGTTTTTGCAGTGGTTGACTGACTTTTGGACCACCCTGTATAAAATTTAATAATAGACATTAAAATTCCTGTCTGTTTTCATCGTTTATAACATTTTTTTTCCTCCTCCTAAAAAAATAAAATAAAAATGAATGTAAAACTTTTAAAAAAGGAATACTTTTTCAATTTAAATTTGAATTTTTTATTTAAGAAAATAAAATATTAAGTTGCAATTTTTAAAATTTACTTGAACGTAAATTGTTCGTAGACTTGACACTTTTAATATCTTTTAAATAAAAACTGAATAGTTATGAGTGAAGCTTTCATAAAATCCTTCGCATTGATTTTCCCATTATAAATGGCAGGTGAGTGTAGTCACGTGCGATGACGTATTCGATAAGCGTGACTCACGAAACGATGTGACAGCTGATGTTGAGCAAATAGAATAATAATTAAAGTGTAAAATTACAAAACCTTTTTAGTGACTTTTTTTCCTGAAGTTTTCTGCATATTTAAACTGAATATTTTAAATAATAAGATTATTTTCGATATAATATTCATTTCTACAGATATTAATTATTCATAAATTTTTATATAACAATACTATTGTTGCTGGTCCCTTTATCTGAGTCCTTAGCGGTTATATAAATTTTGCCCATTGTTTTAGCATAGAAAAAATAAAAAATAAATTTTCGGGAGGAGAGGATTTATTATTTGAAAGAAACACGATAAACGGATATATATTAAGAAGTTTTTATGGCCTTTGAAGCAGGTGGATCCATACATTTGTGACTGGCATTATCTCACCCTCCACAGTGGCCGAATGTATATAACTACTAAACACTGGTCGCGGGTTCGTGACCGACCACGCGAAGTTTTCCGGGTTTTCTTCACGTGCCTAACTAACACCTGAATAGGGACCAGTTTCCTACAGGAAGTCTTCTCGGGAGGCACCATCTCCTTGGCAGATTTCCCACGTGTCGCATTGCTTTGCTCCATGGAAACAAACTAAACATACCTTTCTAAACTCATGCTACATCCTCTTAGTGCCCATGGGGCGAAAAGAAAATAAATTATTAAATGACAATCTTATAAGAATTACGTTCAACTTAAGACGAATAGGTATTTGTTTCTTGATAAGTGTAATTTATTTAAGTATAATAGTTTGACTTTCTACACATTCTTTCAGCGTAAGATGTCAGATTACAGATTATACATCATCATACTCTGGAAATTTATTAAATTACAAGACAATTGTACTCTCACGCTGAATTATAATAATCGTAAAAACCTTTCTGTAGTCAATAATATGTGGGTGTCATATTTCAGGAAAGTTTCCTTTCGTAAAAAATAAAAATTATTAAAAAAAAACTAGAAAATTACTGGTTATTGATTAATAATATAAAGTGATTGATTCGGAAAGTAAACCTGATCAACTTAGATCAAGGACTGTTTCTAACGTTGCTAACAATCAAGGTGGTAACAGGCAAAACTATTGTTGACCCTATTATAATCAGGCGTAACAAGGGAGGAGTAGAGAGGCGTTAAATGAGAAATGGCGCTATACTTTCCTAACAGGTAACTTTCATTGCAAATCTTTATTTAATAAATGTTACGCTAATATTAATCGAAAATGTTAATAAAAGAATGTCAGTGCGTGGTGTCAAAATATGCACAATTGTGTGGGAAGGCCTCCAAGCGCCCAAAAACCCACGCTATGTCCCTGATTTCGTTATAATTACATTTATGACTATATTAATCTTGCAAGCACTGTTAAGTAATTCCAATATTTTCGTGATTAGGCCTAGTTATTAGTAAGGATGTATTTGCATGTTTTTTAAATCTATATTTTTTAATCCTAATTAATTTTTAACAAAATAAACGTTACTCTAATCACGTACTATGCTTGCCATTCTCAAAGTCCCATACCTTCTAGATCCCTCTGAAGTCTTATCCTCAAGAGGGTAACAGCGTCCACTTTGAGAACCACTACACCAGGCGAACATTGGAGAGCAACGCTAAACAAATACTTATGTCATTCCTTCATAAATGTTTGAAGTTCGAGAATTGAGTATTGGGAGCACATCTCAAAAGTACTTCAATATTTAGATTACGCTGTTTGCAATAAAACCATGTGAGAATATTTCGTGTAACGTCTGACCCGAGTTCTCGATATAATTCGTCCGCCTAGTCCTTGGCCGATCTTTTTTATGCAGATGATGAACAAACGAATCTGCCTTGTTTTATTTGTAAATTGAGCAACATAGTTGAAACGAATTTGCATGAAATTTCTTCAAATTCGAGGACTTCCAAGCCATGTTGTTTTTGGTCGGAAAAAATTGTCCATCAGTGGCCAAGCGATCTTCGTACTCTGAACACTCTGGCCACGTGGAGTTTTCCGGGTTTTCTCTACGTCTGTAACGTCTAAATAGGGGCCAGTTTCCCTTAAAAAGATCTCCCCGAAGGCATCCCCCTAGGCAGAATGCNTTTTCTTCTATGTCGTCTTGCCTCTGCCTCCCTATGCAACCTTGCAGATCTCTGTTCATCAGTTTCATTTTTTCTTCTAAGTCGTCTTGCCTCTGCCTCCCTATGCAACCTTGCAGATCTCTGCTCATCAGTTTCATTCTGCAACCTTTTACGTCTTAATTGTGCCATCCTTTGTAATCTTTCAAGTTCTTCTTTAGTTCTCAATCGTTTTCTATACTTGTCTCTCCGAAGCCTTTTACCACGCTGCTCATCGGTTTCCCGCGCACGTCTCTCCCTCTGTCTCGCAGCAGCGGCAGCTTTACGTTCCTCCTCAGTGGCATATTTCTTTGGTGGTGCCATGAAAGGTTTCTCTTTTGGATTAATATATGTGGATTAATCTCCTGTGAATTAATATATGGATTTAATTAATTTTTAAAAATATTACCTTCCGAGCATCCACTTTGTTTCTATAATATATTAGTTTTAAATATATTAATAATGTTATTGTTTATCAAATTTTCAAAACTATTTGTTTTTCTGTTATTCGTTATTTGAAATTTCAAAACTAAGTTACAGCAGCAGTGTCAATAATAAATTCATATCAATAATAAATTCCTATTACAAATAAAAATAATAATATACCAAATTTATTGTTAATTTAAATAATCGTTAGGGACCGATCCTCCAACCTCTGGACATCCTGACCAATCCGACCCTCCAGGCAGAAGTCCTAGCGAGCTTTTTCGGCCGGCCACGCCTCACTGGGGTCTTTGCGCTTCTCTCAGAGTCATGCTATAAAGACTACTGAATGACAGATCAACCATTCCATCTGCAGGACTTACAACAAGCGATCCAACATCTCCAAACAGCTATGCCAGGACCAGACAGAATATGGACCCAGGCACTGAAGACTTTCCCTCCAGAGGAAATCCATCACTTTTTAGCTCGCCTTAACAAGATTTGGCAGTTGGAGATGTGCTCCCAGACTGGACAATAGCCACCATGGTCCTGATTGTCAAACCTAATCGTCAGCCGACAATCTGCTCATCGTTCTGTCCGATTTCATTAACATCCCAAGTGAGAAGGCCAGATGGCCAAGCAGTGAAGGTGGCAGCCTACCGCTCTGGGAAACCCGGAATCGGATCCTTACGGGTCATGGAATCCCCAGGAATTTTCCGGGGGGGTTGTCCGTTCAGATATGTCGGGTCCCGTCCCTCACCACCCGGTTGCCCCATTGTGGGCCTGGTCGAACCCATAATGGGCCTGCTATAAGAGGCCCTCTTAGTGCCTACAGGGTGGAAAGAATAAAAAAAAATCCCAAGTGTCAAAAACGTTTGAGAGACTCCTACTCAATAGACTCCATACTACAGATCTACACCATGAACATATTCCATCCATCCTAATCACTTCGGCTTCCTACTGTACAGACGTGTTAAAGAGACTTTAATTACAATCCACCACCATCTCGCCATTGCAAGAGTGAGACGGCACTGAAATTACCTAATTGCCTTGAACTTATGATTCGATTTGCCAGATGGGCCTACTCGCAAAACTATCATCATAGGCGTTGGATGTCACGTGCTACAGTGGCTACAGTCCTTTCTCCTTCAGCGTACCTTCTGCATCTGATGGCGGGGCATGACTTCAACACCTCATGCCTTCTGTCAGGAGGTCCCTCAGGGAAGTGTTCTAGCCCCCTTCCTTTTTACTTACTATATGTCAGATCTATGGGAGGCACTCCTGAAAGACATTGCAGCCATACTTTACACCGATGGCCTCTATCTTATTGCCTCAAGTAACCAACACTCCCAGCGGGCCCTTCATCATAGTCAGTCTCTCCACCGCCAGATGGTCATCACTTCTGAGAGCCGGTCAGTCCTTCAAGCAGTGGTGGCAGTCACCCATTCATCACTGCCACTCATCATAGACCTGGTGGCAACAATCACATCATTTTCAACACCTCTTGTCATTGGATGGACCCGGACCATGGGACCATCCCAGTTAATGAAGCGACTGACAAGGCTACACGAACATACCTACTGGCACAATATAGCATCCTACTGGCACAATATAGCATCCACTACAGCCAAATGATCTCTCTCAGAGCATCAGAAGATCAACCATCCAAAATCTCATCAGCACATGGACTCTGAGCCTTCCTGAGAAAGCTCGGAGTCCATGTGTCGATGACCACCTTCACCTCTTCACCAAATGGCCTTATCAATATGCCTCATCCCGCTAAACAGAAACTCTGCTGGCCCACCTCCGCATGGATACGACCCCGCTGAATGCATTCGTACACTCCCATCACCACCGCAACTCTCCAGCAAACCCTCACTGTTGTTTAACCACTAGGTGGCAGCTTGTCAAAGAATGTAGCCCAAGCGACTGACATCTCCGGATAAACCCAGAAAGAAAGAAAGACAAACAGTGGGATCAATGGCTTATATACATATATAGTAGACGAGGTTGTAAAATTTGTAAATAATTGATAAATATAAATTCTTTTTATCTATATTTTGACATTAATTCAATGATGACATATCATTGAATTTTGACATTCAATGATAATCAGAATAATGTAGACAGTTTTCTATTTTAGATTTTTAATCTCATTCACTCCATTTATTAATCATTATCTAATCTCCAATAAACGAAATGACTGAAATTAAAATATCAATACTGATATTTAAGAACACAACTACCCAGAAAAAGTCATTTGTCAAAAGATCATTTTGATAAAAGTATTGAATTTAATTGTAATAATTCCAATTAAATTCAATGAATTTAATTGTAATAAAATGAATTTGTTCAATTGTAAAAGCAATACTTAAAGATAATGATGAATGATTGATAAACAATCTTAATGAGAAATAATTATAATTATATATATATATATANATTTGGCAGTTGGAGATGTGCTCCCAGACTGGACAATAGCCACCATGGTCCTGATTGTCAAACCTAATCGTCAGCCGACAATCTGCTCATCGTTCTGTCCGATTTCATTAACATCCCAAGTGAGAAGGCCAGATGGCCAAGCAGTGAAGGTGGCAGCCTACCGCTCTGGGAAACCCGGAATCGGATCCTTACGGGTCATGGAATCCCCAGGAATTTTCCGGGGGGGTTGTCCGTTCAGATATGTCGGGTCCCGTCCCTCACCACCCGGTTGCCCCATTGTGGGCCTGGTCGAACCCATAATGGGCCTGCTATAAGAGGCCCTCTTAGTGCCTACAGGGTGGAAAGAATAAAAAAAAATCCCAAGTGTCAAAAACGTTTGAGAGACTCCTACTCAATAGACTCCATACTACAGATCTACACCATGAACATATTCCATCCATCCTAATCACTTCGGCTTCCTACTGTACAGACGTGTTAAAGAGACTTTAATTACAATCCACCACCATCTCGCCATTGCAAGAGTGAGACGGCACTGAAATTACCTAATTGCCTTGAACTTATGATTCGATTTGCCAGATGGGCCTACTCGCAAAACTATCATCATAGGCGTTGGATGTCACGTGCTACAGTGGCTACAGTCCTTTCTCCTTCAGCGTACCTTCTGCATCTGATGGCGGGGCATGACTTCAACACCTCATGCCTTCTGTCAGGAGGTCCCTCAGGGAAGTGTTCTAGCCCCCTTCCTTTTTACTTACTATATGTCAGATCTATGGGAGGCACTCCTGAAAGACATTGCAGCCATACTTTACACCGATGGCCTCTATCTTATTGCCTCAAGTAACCAACACTCCCAGCGGGCCCTTCATCATAGTCAGTCTCTCCACCGCCAGATGGTCATCACTTCTGAGAGCCGGTCAGTCCTTCAAGCAGTGGTGGCAGTCACCCATTCATCACTGCCACTCATCATAGACCTGGTGGCAACAATCACATCATTTTCAACACCTCTTGTCATTGGATGGACCCGGACCATGGGACCATCCCAGTTAATGAAGCGACTGACAAGGCTACACGAACATACCTACTGGCACAATATAGCATCCTACTGGCACAATATAGCATCCACTACAGCCAAATGATCTCTCTCAGAGCATCAGAAGATCAACCATCCAAAATCTCATCAGCACATGGACTCTGAGCCTTCCTGAGAAAGCTCGGAGTCCATGTGTCGATGACCACCTTCACCTCTTCACCAAATGGCCTTATCAATATGCCTCATCCCGCTAAACAGAAACTCTGCTGGCCCACCTCCGCATGGATACGACCCCGCTGAATGCATTCGTACACTCCCATCACCACCGCAACTCTCCAGCAAACCCTCACTGTTGTTTAACCACTAGGTGGCAGCTTGTCAAAGAATGTAGCCCAAGCGACTGACATCTCCGGATAAACCCAGAAAGAAAGAAAGACAAACAGTGGGATCAATGGCTTATATACATATATAGTAGACGAGGTTGTAAAATTTGTAAATAATTGATAAATATAAATTCTTTTTATCTATATTTTGACATTAATTCAATGATGACATATCATTGAATTTTGACATTCAATGATAATCAGAATAATGTAGACAGTTTTCTATTTTAGATTTTTAATCTCATTCACTCCATTTATTAATCATTATCTAATCTCCAATAAACGAAATGACTGAAATTAAAATATCAATACTGATATTTAAGAACACAACTACCCAGAAAAAGTCATTTGTCAAAAGATCATTTTGATAAAAGTATTGAATTTAATTGTAATAATTCCAATTAAATTCAATGAATTTAATTGTAATAAAATGAATTTGTTCAATTGTAAAAGCAATACTTAAAGATAATGATGAATGATTGATAAACAATCTTAATGAGAAATAATTATAATTATATATATATATATATAATTATATATTAATTATATAATAATTATATATATATTTAAGTCAAAATACATTTGCTTGTTAGATAAAGTTCATTGTATCCTCTCACCAAATTTGGCATGAATATTCTCTAATACTCTAGAAAAAAGTTTTAGGGATGGTTGAGGGAAAGGGTCTAGGGGTGGTTGGAGTGGAGACCTTAGAAGTTCCCTTCCCCAACCACCCCTCTAACTTGGGTCAGTAAAAGTACATTTTAGTTACTAAAGATCATTGTTTTTTATTACCAGTCCCAGTCCAACCTCACAATCTCCCACCTGAAATTTTATAATTTAAAGAGAATTAGGATTAATAATTAAATTACAATTGATGAATTTGTTTAAAACATACAATTACTTGTAATATGATGATAATAAATATTATAAGTATACTGTAATTCTAACAAGTAAGTTAATTTTAACATAATATCTTCAGTATTAATGATACATGATCCAATTAATTATAGAAATTTAATAAAATATTTCATTAAAATATAGTTTTAATAATTTTTAATAAATTTCTAAAATTAATTGGTATTTTCTACACTTTAATAAATATATTTTAAGAAAAAACAGAAAGCATTTAAGAAACTGAAGTATAACTTATGATATCTATGTAAATCGTCTCTGTAATCCAAAATTATGGTAGACGGTCTCACAGCAAATTTATGATTAGGAACTATGATTACAGAGATATCTTTACATAGATATCTAATATACAACAATCCAATTTATATTGTGCATAACTTATGAATTTCAAATTTAATACAGCCCACCAGTGGCCAAGCGGTCTTCACACCCTGAACACGGAGTTCGGTTGTGGGTTTGCGCCTCGCTCAGACAGACTGGCCACATGGAGTTTTCCGGGTTTTCTCCACGTCTGTAATACCTAAATAGGGGCCAGTTTCTCTTAAAAGACCTCCCAGAAGGCATCCCCCCCTAGGCAGATTGCCCAAAGTGTTGCATTGCCATAACTTAACAAACAAACAAATTTAATACATCAATAAAACTTTTATACACAAATATCTGCAGGACTTACAACAAGCGATCCAACATCTCCAAACAGCTATGCCAGGACCAGACAGAATATGGACCCAGGCACTGAAGACTTTCCCTCCAGAGGAAATCCATCACTTTTTAGCTCGCCTTAACAAGATTTGGCAGTTGGAGATGTGCTCCCAGACNATAGAATAATAATTAAAGTGTAAAATTACAAAACCTTTTTAGTGACTTTTTTTCCTGAAGTTTTCTGCATATTTAAACTGAATATTTTAAATAATAAGATTATTTTCGATATAATATTCATTTCTACAGATATTAATTATTCATAAATTTTTATATAACAATACTATTGTTGCTGGTCCCTTTATCTGAGTCCTTAGCGGTTATATAAATTTTGCCCATTGTTTTAGCATAGAAAAAATAAAAAATAAATTTTCGGGAGGAGAGGATTTATTATTTGAAAGAAACACGATAAACGGATATATATTAAGAAGTTTTTATGGCCTTTGAAGCAGGTGGATCCATACATTTGTGACTGGCATTATCTCACCCTCCACAGTGGCCGAATGTATATAACTACTAAACACTGGTCGCGGGTTCGTGACCGACCACGCGAAGTTTTCCGGGTTTTCTTCACGTGCCTAACTAACACCTGAATAGGGACCAGTTTCCTACAGGAAGTCTTCTCGGGAGGCACCATCTCCTTGGCAGATTTCCCACGTGTCGCATTGCTTTGCTCCATGGAAACAAACTAAACATACCTTTCTAAACTCATGCTACATCCTCTTAGTGCCCATGGGGCGAAAAGAAAATAAATTATTAAATGACAATCTTATAAGAATTACGTTCAACTTAAGACGAATAGGTATTTGTTTCTTGATAAGTGTAATTTATTTAAGTATAATAGTTTGACTTTCTACACATTCTTTCAGCGTAAGATGTCAGATTACAGATTATACATCATCATACTCTGGAAATTTATTAAATTACAAGACAATTGTACTCTCACGCTGAATTATAATAATCGTAAAAACCTTTCTGTAGTCAATAATATGTGGGTGTCATATTTCAGGAAAGTTTCCTTTCGTAAAAAATAAAAATTATTAAAAAAAAACTAGAAAATTACTGGTTATTGATTAATAATATAAAGTGATTGATTCGGAAAGTAAACCTGATCAACTTAGATCAAGGACTGTTTCTAACGTTGCTAACAATCAAGGTGGTAACAGGCAAAACTATTGTTGACCCTATTATAATCAGGCGTAACAACGGAGGAGTAGAGAGGCGTTAAATGAGAAATGGCGCTATAACTTACTTTCCTAACAGGTAACTTTCATTGCAAATCTTTATTTAATAAATGTTACGCTAATATTAATCGAAAATGTTAATAAAAGAATGTCAGTGCGTGGTGTCAAAATATGCACAATTGTGTGGGAAGGCCTCCAAGCGCCCAAAAACCCACGCTATGTCCCTGATTTCGTTATAATTACATTTATGACTATATTAATCTTGCAAGCACTGTTAAGTAATTCCAATATTTTCGTGATTAGGCCTAGTTATTAGTAAGGATGTATTTGCATGTTTTTTAAATCTATATTTTTTTAATCCTAATTAATTTTTAACAAAATAAACGTTACTCTAATCACGTACTATGCTTGCCATTCTCAAAGTCCCATACCTTCTAGATCCCTCTGAAGTCTTATCCTCAAGAGGGTAACAGCGTCCACTTTGAGAACCACTACACCAGGCGAACATTGGAGAGCAACGCTAAACAAATACTTATGTCATTCCTTCATAAATGTTTGAAGTTCGAGAATTGAGTATTGGGAGCACATCTCAAAAGTACTTCAATATTTAGATTACGCTGTTTGCAATAAAACCATGTGAGAATATTTCGTGTAACGTCTGACCCGAGTTCTCGATATAATTCGTCCGCCTAGTCCTTGGCCGATCTTTTTTATGCAGATGATGAACAAACGAATCTGCCTTGTTTTATTTGTAAATTGAGCAACATAGTTGAAACGAATTTGCATGAAATTTCTTCAAATTCGAGGACTTCCAAGCCATGTTGTTTTTGGTCGGAAAAAATTGTCCATCAGTGGCCAAGCGATCTTCGTACTCTGAACACTCTGGCCACGTGGAGTTTTCCGGGTTTTCTCTACATCTGTAACGTCTAAATAGGGGCCAGTTTCCCTTAAAAAGATCTCCCCGAAGGCATCCCCCTAGGCAGATCGCCCAAGTGTTATGTTTCCATAACTAAAAAAAACCCGAAAAACCGAATAAAAAAAAAGATATAATGTACTGTATACTACAAAAACAATTTTAAGTTTGTGTATAAAATTTTCTCGTTAAACAAGTTTACAATAAATTTTTGAACACGACGGTGATTTGTTTTTAAATTCTTTCCGTCCTTTGGGCACTACGATGGCCTTTTTTTCCCCATCGTATCTTTAAATTCCGACCGATATATAAGAATAGTCGAGTGCAAATTTTATGATTGCCACAGACACAATAAAGGAAAATTTTCTGCGGTGCAGTGAAAATAAAATCCAATATAGAGGTACCACGCCAAGATTCGACGCGTCGACTTGGCGCTTACGAATTCGATTGATAAATATGCGTGCTACTATATTAGAAGGCTACTTTTAATATTAAATGAGATCGTGAATAATCGTTTCCTGTAATTATTTCAAGCATTTTATTTATTTTCATTCAGAGATTTGCATTTTTGGGATATAATGTTTGAAGCAGAGTTTATTGATTTTTCTACACTTAAACAGAACTTTGGCTACAGTATAAATTACAGAATACCAGTTTTAAATTTGTGTGTAACTTAATTAATACAATGTTACGAAATCATCTCGGTTTAAACACACTTTCCCGAATAATCAAGAAAGCCTTCTAATATATTATCACGCATATTTATCAATCGAATTTGAACGCGCCAAGTCGACGCATCGAATTCTTGGCGTGGTACCCCTTTATTGGATTTTATTTTTCCTCCACGGCAGATTTTTTTATATTATCTCTGTGGCAATCATAAAAAGTTGTCTATATTATACTTGACTATTCTTACACATTTTTAAAAGGAAGCAATGTACTAAAGCTATAAAAAAAATTACGTATATAATATATATATATGTATCTTTTTGGTTTCCTATCCTTTAGCTGATTAAAAATGGGTTAATACAAACTGATTCTTTGTTCTTCACATATGCCTAATACAATATTCTGCACGAGAAAATACTCTAGAGACAACTCTCTCTCTCTCTTCAATAATTATGGCCCAGTCTTATTATAAAAAGGTATGTGCACTGTAGGTGTTTGCGTGAATCTCCTAATTCTTAGGATAGCACCTCAAACCTCTAATTACAAAACAAAATATTAATTTTTTTTTATTAATAATTTTCATCCTACGGTAAATATAAGTCCGACTCGTGATTTAGTGATACACAATCCTCAATAAAATTAGATTCATGAAATAAATCAACGCAACACATGGGCGATCTGCCGAGAAGGTTACCTTCTGGGACGACTTTCTATGAGGGAAACTCCGTATTTAGGTGTTAGACACGTTGAGTTTTCCGGATTTTCTTCACGAGGCAAACCCGTTGGTGAGGCGCAAATCCACGACCAGTGTCCACTCGGCAATTAATGACATCCTGTTAGCCCATTGTATTAAATACTGTATCTTGTTGCGTCTCCTAAATCATACAGGATATAGTCGGAGAAAGTTTGGATGAGGAAGTCTTTCATGTGCATTTGAATCTTATTAATTTTAAAAAATAAAATATACTTTAAAATTTCCTCTTTGTATTTTACCATAGAGCATCAGTCAAAGATATTTTTGTTAAAATCCATTTTGCCTTTCAGTGTGGAAAGTAGATTAATTAAGCACAGTTTTGTACAATTAAACATACCGTGTAATATTAAAATCCAATTATCTGGATTAAGTATTGATTTATCTTTCAAAATTCATGCATTTTATCAATTGATAAGTTTCGTGTTATGATATATTGTTTTGTCTGCGAATGATCTCAACACAAATTTGGGAACAAACGCATTTCCTTTAGATACGACCTTTGATATTATTTATAATTAACAGTTTATGCGCTTTTGTTGTTTCAGCAAGAATTTGAAGTTTGTTTAATTAATTATTTCTAACGAATACTCGTTTAATTAGTTTAATAGTGTTGATACTTTATATAATATTAAAACCATTAATGAATTTTTGAGAGAAAATAGACAGCAATGAATTCAATTTCTCTTTCTGAATGTAATTTCAATTAATTGGACTGCAATTTAAAAAAATTGTAGACCTATAAATTCCCACTGCCGTCCGTCTGTCCGTCTTTGCTTAATCTCTAGAGCGGAGTTAGATAGATGAAAGCCGAGACCAAATATAGAAAGATTAGGGCAAGAGGCCCGATTAACTATGTACCGGAAGTCACGTTATTTCAATTTAAAAAATTTCCCCTTTAAACAAGACCGGCATGACTATTGCTAACAGGAAAAGTTCATCGTACGGGGGCGAGAACATTACTAATTTGAGGTGGAGAGCATATAAATTAAATTAAAAGTTGCAGCCCGGCATTGTGACGATGTCACAATAAATAAATCCTCGTAACGAATTTATAGTGACTATAAATTTATATGAAATTAAGTCGATGTTCGTTAATAGCAATATTAGTCATGCTGTAACTATAAATTTGATACATTTCTTGATAAATATGATCAGAGTTAGGCAATATGTCTCGCAATTGTACGTAGAAACAATAGTTACAAAACTTTAATAGTCGCTATCCTTGACTCTAATATGGTCTAATAATAATATTAATAGTACGTGTTCAGCATCCTGGTTCGATTTAATATTCGAAATTACGATTTGCTTTAGTTAATACAGATTCACATGAACCGAAATTTGAATCAGATTTGAAATGATTTCTTAGTTTCTCATTGACTGTTGTTACGTTTAGGTGCTAGCATACCCACTTGTAGAGTGAATGTTTATGTTGGAAAAAGTAGAAAATATAAGCGTATGTTAATGTTAAATAATATGTAGGTGGTAAATACAAGGCATGTCTGGCAGTCTTTTTAGGAAACTAGGTTCGAATCAAATCGGATCCTCAGCAATTTTTCCTGTGGTCTTATCTGAATATGTAGATATGTTTCTCAACCAGATTCTCAACTCTCCATCCCATAAGAAAAACCTTTTTGCAAATTCATCGTGGCTTCGTCCAGTTTCATAGTAGGGGATCATCATGATATATTGTGACGAAACCATTCATGACTGTCAGTTGTTCCTGTATGGTAGAGAAAATGAAATTTATAATAAAAACTTGAGACTACGTTCTGTCGTAACTCACATTTTAATCATAGCAAAATGAATTCTAGGAACGTTTTATACAGTATAATTTCAAACTGAACATTGAAGGAATCCATGTTTTTGATAGATTGTTTTTATGGATTATTCAGTTTCAGATTTCGTTTCCATTGTCGTTTTATATTCGTCATTCTTATTACAAATCAAGTGAACAACTGTAAGAATTGAGATTGGCTACGTAACCTTTTGTATGCTGATACTCATACAAGAAAAATCCAAATTTAATTTAAATATTCAGTATGTTTCATACTACAGAAATATAACTTCAATAGTCTTCTGTTTACATTGAAAGTTATACTCTTCTTTTTAAATTTTGAATGTCAAAACAATTTCTCTACCGTTTAACACGAAAATACCCTTCTAAATTGTAATGCATTTAAAAATGTAATATAATAAATTTTAGAAGTAAATTTTATAATCCCATTTTTCCGAAATTTTGATTGTATCAATGCAATGCAAGATTCTAACATTGTTTATTAGTAACATAGTCTGACCCGAAATAAGATCTGTCACCAACAACGAGAAATAGAAAATGTGTCTGTCTGTAATTTAATTTTTTAACAAAAATAAAACTAATCCGATTTTCCACTGCATTGTCATCTTTAAGCACAGTACTTTAACACCAAAAAATTTTTTCTCGTCTTTTTTCTTCTGTTTCTCAGATTTAGTATTACAAATAAATGTTTCTTAATTAATAAAAATTTGATTTTACTCCAGGACACGATTTACATCAGATCGCAGACTTAGATCATGTATCTACCTAAGCGTGACGCCCTAATACTGTTAGTTAATTAAACCATGAAGTAATTAAAATACTATTTTACATTTTAATTATTTTTATTTAACGTGAAACATTATAATCAAAGTTAATACCGACGTCTGCGCCAAGATTTTGAAGTTTATTCGCAGAACTCCATCAAATATATTCTAAATTACTGTATTGAATTTCGGTGAAGATTATTTTGAGTGAATCGAAATCAATATATTAAAACTGTTTACGAACACAAATCATGTACTAATATGAGTTTTTTTTAATATTTTATAATCAGAGTAATTAAAATATTAAACTAGATTTATCGCTATGAAATTTCCAATGCTAATTTATAAAACTGACATTGAAAATGTTAATTTGAAAAATTATCATCATCATCATCATCATACCGCTCACTAATCATTTTAGATGCAAAATCATCGTCGTATGCTTGTTTCAAATACATTGCTACTGTAGGTTGAATTTAATATGTAAATTCCAATTAAATTCTATATTCAAAGCACTGAAATTATATATATTGTACATAAAACCCCAACTTTATTGCGTATTAAATCCATTTACAATCGATAAAACTGGGGTTGGACAGGTTGGCCATATAATCCTTACGAGATGGTGTTTGTTAGAAGTCAGTCAAGTAGTCTTACAGTGAAATTATACAGTCAAATCTCCATTAACGGCCACCTCTAAACAGCAGCCATTTTTCAAAAAATGTAACAAAAATTCATACAAAACCTCCAATCAATGCCATTTTTTTACGTTCCTGTCAGGGACGTAGAGGCTTGATTGTATGCACACAAAGTATATTTTGCAGAAAACCGATATCAAATACATTTATAGAAGGAAAAAAATAACGTAAATTCTAGATTTTTATTCTCGTGAATTGTTATATAGTTGATTTAATATTAAATTATTATAGAGAACCTACTGATTAGCGCCAATTTCCATCATAAACACAATTAAAAATAAGACAGAAAAGGATTAAAATTATATATCAAGATAAATGACCTTTAAATGCTAGAGTCTTGTTACATGTATATTGATGTTACCTTCTGTATATAATTAATAATGATAACGGGTATGAAAATATAATTAAATTTTTATGTAGATTGTAGCTTGCATTATCAGATAATTTGCTAATTAAGAAGTTTCCAGCTTAACATCTCACAATATTCGCTTTTTTAATGTGAAAGTTCGGTTTATTTATCTTCATCGAAGTAGTTTAATTTCTTGCATTCTTCGATCCTTTCATTAATTTTCGTTTTAAAACACAGAAATCTTATACTTTGAAGTCGCATCGGTTCTTCTACGTACAAAAACATCTAACACTAAGTAATCAATGGAATGGATATTGTTTGCTGACGATCATAATTCACACCAAGTCGTCATTCTTACTAGGAAAATTTTGATAATAAAAATCGTTAACAATGTTTCTAATATTAATTATGCTGAAAATCAAACAAATATTTCATTACATATAAAATATTTGTTTGTATATGCATTATAGTATGATAATTAGGCCATTCAAAGTCTTCCTGATGAGAATCTTTAGATGACCTCGATGCAAAGTACGGCTCGTAATTCGACGCCTAGTAATTCAGACTAGGAATTACAATAAAAAAAATCCAGCAACGAGTTGCTTAACTTTCCTGGCAAAAAGCTTAATTTTAAGTGTGCAGATGAGATATTATTATTAATTTTTTGAAATTGCAAATGCTAATAACGAGTAACATCTTCATAAATCCAGCACCAATCGAATTAAGACACGTAAGACCCCTCCACCAAAATTTAATGAAATCAATGACTTTAAAATACACTGCACCTCACTGCAAAATTTCAGAAATTTTCGACTAAAGTCACAGGAGCTTTATTTAGCTTCAAATTGGGTGAACAAAATCGCGCCCCACCCACACACATCCACACCCACACATATAGAAAAACCTTCAAAATATTTTGCATTTCTCGACGTTTGAAGATCCCGAGTCCAAAAATGTAAAAATCTTGACCATCTCCATATTTTCCGTTATATAATAACAGCCGGAAAAGTAAAAACAATAATTTTTTTTCTTATATTATGTTGAAATATTAATACTCGATAATGTTAAAAATCTCGTGTTAGATAAAATATTTTTTTATTTTTTTATTTTTAATTTATTGCTTGCAATACCAATCTCTTGTCTATGACAAAATTCCCTCTCGAGGGACTACTGTTAAATATATAAAATAAAACTTTCATCCAATATAAACGTTATCGATTAGAATTTTACAACAACCCGCTAAAATAACGTTGTAATACCAGTCGACCCCCCTATAAACACTGTTAATAATTCCGTTTTATATGAATTCCATGTTGTACGAGTCACTTAGATTTTACAAATACCTGAGTCGTTCACAGCCCGGCACACGAATTTGTAAAATCTAAATGACTCGTACAACATGGAATTCATATAAAACGGAATTACCAACAGTATTATAGGGGGATCGACTATACTTGATTTCAGCCTAAATTACTGATTATTATTCAATAATTTCATTAAAAAAATTATTTTAAAATACTTCTCTTATATTTTTTTTTATAATAATTTTGAGAATTTTTGCAGAAATCACTTAACTTTCAATACTTTATTTTATCAAATAACTTTAAAAAATATCTGTTTATATTATAATCGATTTTCTCTATTTAAGATCACATGCTCCGTAAAGCTGGAAAATGTCGACTGAATGGTTTGTTATCAAAATATTCAGTTAAATTTATATTAATTTATTCGTAGAAATAATTGGAAGAACGAAATTCTCTGCCAATTTTTGAATAACAAAATTTAGTTATTATATTTATTTAGCAGCTTGTTTCAAATTACTCCCTGGAGTAACTTCTATTAATTTGAAATTAAAAATATAGATAATTCGTTTGATATTATAACAGTTTCTTTAAATTTAACAATTTAAAACGAAAAAGAATATTTAATTTAATATTGATTATATATTAATAAATCTAACTAAATTAGTTAATATTTACGTGCATTTAAACGTGTTTAATCGATAAATTCTAGACACTGGTTAGGCAAGTTTTGCAAAGTTATCCGAAGAAGTCGTTTTTTTACGTAGCAGCAAAGCAAGACAGTGAAGTCAACCCCATGGGAAACCAAATTTTTTTTCCTTTTAATTTTATTAAAGTTGGCCTTACGTATTACTTTTTATGCTGAAAACAAACTCATATATATGCAAAAACTTTTTAAATAAAAATAAATAATTATATATTTCCAAAAAATAAAAAAAACAACTGAAAACAGCGAATTTTGAACTTACTTTTCACTTAAATGCAGCATCAAGGATCAATTGTTTTAACGGTTTACATTTTATGAGTGGAACTTCTATACTTTATATTTGCTCATATCGAATCCTTTTATTTCCGGAGTAATTTATTAATTTACGAATTTGCATTTAAATTGTTCGTTTACACGTGAAGACGAATTGGCTGAACACGTCCTCATTTGTATTATAAAATGGTTTTTATGATCAGCGATAAAATTAATTACTAAAATGACACTATTGTATAAATGAATTTATAGAGACGTGAAATAAAAATTAATCTTGTTAAATAATTGTATTATCTTTTAATGGTAATTAATGGTTATTTATGGGTAGGATAAATTTTTATCATAAAAAAAACTAACATAGTTAATTGTACTGTATATACATTATTATAATTAATTGTTTTGTAATATAGTAATTGTACAGTCGACCCCCCTATAATACTGTTGATAATTCCGTTTTATATGAATTCCATGTTGTACGAGTCACTTAGATTTTACAAATACGTGAGCCGTTCACGGCGCGGCACACGTATTTGTAAAATCTAAGTGACTCGTACAACATGGAATTCATATAAAACGGAATTATCAACAGTGTTATAGGGGGTCAACTATTATTAAGTCGATCATAACTTGTTAAATATAGACTATGATTATACTAATTTATAAATTAAGATGCATTCATATTTCAGTATACATTTTTATGTCAGTTTGTCGTCATTTCTACATGTTGTTGTAATGGGTAAGACAAGGACATCCAAGCACTAAATATAATATAAATACTTATAAAAATTATATGATTTTTAGTGACTAGGGAGTAGATATCCTAGCCTTAGTAATGGAGATGCATAAACTGACGTCAAAATTGAGGTAATGATGTACGGTACAACACTAGCAAAACGAATACAATTCTCGTTATTAATTAAAATTATAGTTCGTTTGAGAAGACAGGATGACCCAAAAATCATTTAATATATAGCGCGGTTAACCGTTTTTTTTTTTCTTCTTCTTCTTTTTGGCCACTCTGTATCCATTCTAATAAATTAAAAATCTGAATAAATTCTGAATACAATGATAAATCTATCCTCACGTAAATTTCAATTAAGATCTATTCAATTATTCATTTACAATATATTTACCTTGAACTCTCGTCAGAATGTTGATTTCAATCATTGCCAATTCAATTTATACGAGTTGAACAATTCTACTTAACGTTATTCTAGTAATTTAGCTAAACGGTCGACAATAAAAATAAAATATTTCGAGCATTTTGTAAAATGCCTGTTAAGTTAAAGCTTTATCGGGGTTGTTAATGAAATAATTTCCGTTAATGGATCACTTCCGAACTGATTTACGTAAGAAACTGAATTTTAAATTGGCGATATTAAAGATCCGAGTTAGCAGTTCTGAGCTATCCGGATGGCTTTACATCGAAACTAAGTGAAAACGTTTCGGAGTTAATGAATTTTTAAAGATGTAATAAATTTTTCAGTAAATTTGCGTGATATTGAAAATGATGGCGATAAGCTTCCACGTGAAGTACTTTGTCTAACGCTAATGTAAGTCACCGATTCACCGATTAAAAGACCAAATGCCCACCAGTAGAAGAGTGGATAAAACCACTAAACACTGGTAGTTTGTGCCTCGTGGAGCTTTCTTCACGTTTCTAATTTCATAGCCTTTAAATCGAAGTTTAACCATAATTCAATAATTAAGATCATATTTAGCCAATCACTTTTATATTTATAGCTTTCTGTGAGGTCCAGATACAGTAGACCCCCTATAACACTGTAGATAATTCCGTGTTATATGAATTCCATGTTGTACGAGTCACTTAGATTTTACAAATACGTGAGCCGTTCATAGCCCAGCACACGTATTTGTAAAATCTAAGTGACTCGTACAACATGAAATTCATATAAAACGGAATTATCTACAGTGTTATAGAGGGGTCTACTGTAGTTCGAATCTCATTTAAACGTACAAAAATTCAATTCATTTGGGAAAATATTTTGTTGTAAGTATGAAAGAGACCCGTCGCGAAGGTACGAAATAAACAATACGATCCAAAAATGTAAAAATCTGGAGGGTCATTTTTACCGAATCGCCATACTTTCCTCTCTTATAACATACGAGAAAGTAAAAACTATATATTATTTTAGTGTTATTTTTTTTATAAAACTCATCTCTACCCTCAAAATTAAGTTTTTAACACTATCATAATTAATAATATAAAAATAGTTTAAAATAAAATCACTTAACAGATGGTGCCACACACNGAACTTACTTTTCACTTAAATGCAGCATCAAGGATCAATTGTTTTAACGGTTTACATTTTATGAGTGGAACTTCTATACTTTATATTTGCTCATATCGAATCCTTTTATTTCCGGAGTAATTTATTAATTTACGAATTTGCATTTAAATTGTTCGTTTACACGTGAAGACGAATTGGCTGAACACGTCCTCATTTGTATTATAAAATGGTTTTTATGATCAGCGATAAAATTAATTACTAAAATGACACTATTGTATAAATGAATTTATAGAGACGTGAAATAAAAATTAATCTTGTTAAATAATTGTATTATCTTTTAATGGTAATTAATGGTTATTTATGGGTAGGATAAATTTTTATCATAAAAAAAACTAACATAGTTAATTGTACTGTATATACATTATTATAATTAATTGTTTTGTAATATAGTAATTGTACAGTCGACCCCCCTATAATACTGTTGATAATTCCGTTTTATATGAATTCCATGTTGTACGAGTCACTTAGATTTTACAAATACGTGAGCCGTTCACGGCGCGGCACACGTATTTGTAAAATCTAAGTGACTCGTACAACATGGAATTCATATAAAACGGAATTATCAACAGTGTTATAGGGGG